GTATAAAATATATCCTATGGGCTGGGTGGTGGTGCCTTTAATCCCAGTACCCGGGAGGCAGAGGTAGGTGGATCTCTGTGAGTTCAAGGTCAACCTGGTCTACAGATCGAGTTCCAGGATAGCCAAGGCTACACAGAGCCCTGGGTCCTTCTTAGAATTGTTTTGTTTTTACCACAGTGTCAGTATATCTCCATCTATATGTTCTTTACAGCCCAAAGGATCTCATTCCAAAACTCAACAGTTAAAAGATGGGACAACTGTACTACAAGACTTGAGCCCTGGACAAGGGGGAGGGAACCTGCCTAATGTTCAAGGGAAAACTCTGTTCTTGTGTCCTGTGGAGACAGCAGTTCCAGAGCGAACTCACTGCGATGCAGGAGTTCCGGTCAATTCCTGCCCCATGGGATCCGGATCTTTCTCTACAACAGACAGATAGAGTGTTACGGTACCACTTGGGCAGAGACTGTGCCTCCCCACAGTGGAACCATTTATGGAAGACAGATCATCATCATTCTTCAGTTCCCCACAACCACAGAGCTCATGAAGGAACGGAAACAGGAGAGTACGGGGCAGAGGGTGGTCTAGGAGGCCTTTCTGCAAAGGATCCAGAATTACCACAGGGAAGAAACCAGCTGGCCAAAAGGAAAGCCCAAAAACTCCCTGCCTGAGGCTGACTAAATCCAGCCACTGGTCCTGGTGCAGAAACATCCAAGTGTTTGAAGGTGACCTATGAATCATTGCAGTACTAAAAGGCATATCCCTGAGACTTCAGATTCTGATGAGACCCTGTGATGACTAACATTATATTTCAAGCTTAAATGACTGTGCTTAAGAGACCCATAAAACAAAAATGCCCCGAACCTGTAAGCCCCACTTGCCCAAGGACAGATAACTTCCTAGAATGCTGGGGCTGTTGCTCTCATAACAAGCCACATGTTTTCACTTCTGTAAACAAGGTTGGTTGACCCCGCTGCCCAGGATGTGCTTGATCACATGTATGTGGGAGGGACTTAGGCAGGAAGTACGTCAGGATGTGTGCTTGCCCCTGGTTGGATGAGGGTGGGCTTTGCCTTTATAAGCACCAACGAACGTTAATTTGCAGCCATTCTCTGGGACATTGGATCTGGCCAGTGTCCATCTTTCTGGCCAATATTTAACAAATTTTTCTTCAATTTGACTCAAAAATTGCTTCAGTGGTCTTATGCTCCCCCACAGGGATTAGCAACATGCCATGTATGAAGCTACAGGAAGAACAGAGTTTACAGTAATGAACGGAAACCACCCCTAGATGGAGACATGCCCTTGTCTTCTCCCTCAAGAGGTCATCTGAGGTCCTGACTGAGATGTCTTTATTACATTCCTCCCCTCAAGGCTTAGGGATCTATGTGGGAAAAGAGGCTGAAAGACTTGGAAGAACCAGAGGCTGCGACAGCAGGCACAAGACCTGCACAAGCTCAACCAGACAAGTGCCAGCGTGGAGAAAGGGAAGCCCCATAAAATCCCATCCGTAACCAAGAAGCCGTTTGCAACTGATAGCTGCTGCAAGAGGAAAAAAATCAGTTTTCTCCAATGGAGTGTGATACTGGGTATACCAACCACTCCAGGACAGCAGGACAGGCCTCATGTTCAGTAGTTGGCCAATACAAAATGGACTCTCACACTCTGTCTCTGTGTGTGTGTGTGTGTGTGTGTGTGTGTGTGTGTATGTGTGTGTGTTGTGTGTGTGTGCGTTTTAAGACAGAAAGAATGTGAAATAGGAAAGGGAAGGATTTAAGGAAGGAGAAAGAATAAGATCAAAATACATTGTATGAAAAAATGTTTACTTAAAAAAATAAATAAAGGTAAAAGAGTTAGCCCAGTGGGGTAGGTTAATGACCTGGCTGTAGCTAGTCTTTTTCATCAGGACAGTTGGCTCCCCAGTAATGACATGGAGACTTATTAGTTATGAAAGCTCGTCTGATAGCTTAGGTTTGTTTCTAATTAGCCCTTATAATTTAATTTCCATTTCTTTCATTTACTTTCAGCCTTGTGTCTTTATTACCTCATCTCCATAGTGCCCATCCTGCTTGCTCTGTCCGTCCTGGTGTATCCTACTTCTTCTCATCATCCGTCCTCTGCCTGGAAATCCTGCCTAGCTATTGGCCGTTCAGCTTTTTATTAAACCAGTCAGAATGACACATCTTCACAGAACATTATTCCACAACTCCTAGGAAGATGGGTTCACCTGAATACAGTACTTTTCCTTCCCAGGATTCCCCACCTCCTAGTGCAGTCTCTACCATCCACCCTAAGGCTTGGCGGAGTTGCCTGCCTGGCTGAGTCCTGACTTGGAGGGTATAACTTTCCCGTTTTCTTCTCTGTTAGATGCTGGTCGGAGTCTGTTACACTCTGGGACTTGGGACTTGCTCCTGTCTCCACCATGTGACAGCCTGCCTGTAACTGACCTGCATGCTGGCTTGTCTCAAAGGCTTGGCTTCTTTTCCCTTCTGTCTTCATTTTCTTTAGACAGCTGCAAGAGTTAAGCCTGCCCTGGGGGTTTTTCTTTTGAAACTCTAATAAACTTCCCTCAAACATCTGTTTGAGTCCATTCTTAACATCTTTTAATAATAAGACTAAGATCCCCGAGAGGGAACCCAAATTTCCCTGCTATCAGATTGTGGCTCCACCAGGACATTCCAGCAAAGCTTTCCTGTTGCCTTTTAATTCTTTAATCTACAGAGAAAACGAACCTGTTCCTTCACCCCTAGATGGCATCAAAAGCATGTGCAGAAAACCCTGTGTTGTGCAAATGCCCCCAAAGTCTCTGCTTTATGACATAAGGGTCACAATTCTTCATGTAGCAGAGTTCAGTGAATTACTGAACCCTCCTTTGGTCAAGTCTGCTTCCCCCTTGGAAGTGTATCTTTTCTTTCTTTCTTTTTTTAATTTGTTGAGACAGGGTTTCTCTGTGCAACAGTCCTGGTTGTCCTGGAATTTGCTTTGTAAACCAGGCTGGTCTTGAACTCCCAGAGATCCACCTGCTTCTGCCTTCCAAATGCTGGGGTTAAAGGCGTGACCCGCCATCACCCAACTTTGGAAGAACCTCTTCTGCTGCAACTGTGTGTCTCTGTTTGTTCAGTTCCTTGTTTTCCTTGTTCAAAAACATGAAAGCCATTTGGGGGTGCCCACTGGACCCCAACAGCAACATTAGTAGAATACTTCTAGAAGTATTAAGGTTTGGATGAGGTGGGCATGGATTTCTGAAGATAATGTACTGGCTAATTTCATGTAAACTTGACACAACGTAGAGTCGTCTGAAAAGAGGGAAGCTCAAGAAACGCCTCTATAAAACCCAGCTGTAGGGCATTGTCTTAATTAGTGATTGATGGGGAGGGCCCATCAATCCCTGGTTTGGTGGTTCTGGGTCCTATATTAGGCAGCTAACTGAGCAAGCCACGTTGAGCAAGCCAGTAAGCAGCACACCTCCATGGTCTCTACATCCGCTCCTGCCTCCAGGTTCCTGTGCTGTCTGAGCCCCTGCCCTGACTTGTTTCAGTGATGAACTGTGTGCTGGCTGGTTTTGTGTGTCAACGTGACACAAGCTAGAGTCATCAGAGAGGAAGGAGCCTCAGCTGAGAAAACACCTCCCTGAGACCCAACTGTAAGGCATTTTTCTCAATTAGTGGTCAATGGAGGAGGGCCCAGCTCATTGTGGATGGTACCACCCCTGGGCTCCTGTTCCTGGGTCTTACAAGATAGCAGACTGAGCGAACCATGAGGAGCAAGCCAGTGAGCAGCACCCCTTCATGGCCTCTGCATTAGTTCCTGCCTCCAGGTTCCTGCCCTGTCTGAGTTCCTGTCATGACTGCCTTCAGTGACAGACAGCAATGTGGAAGCATAAGTCAAATAAACCCTTTCCTTCCCAAGCTGCTTTGATTACAGTGTTTCAGTGTGGCAACCCTAACCCTAACTAAGACAACTAAGTGGTTTATAGAAAATGCCATTCGCAGTCGGGTGGTGGTGGCACATGCCTTTAATGTCAGCATTTGGGAGGCAGAAGCAGGTGGATCTCTGTGAGTTTGAGGCCAGCCTGGTCTACAGAGTGAGTTCCAGGACAGCCTCCAAAGCCACAGAGAAACCCTGTCAAAAAAAAAAAAAGAAAGAAAGAAAGGAAATGCCATTCGCAGACAGACAGAGGGCAATAGTAAGGAAGCTGAGAAGTCAGGCCCTAGCACTAGAGACAGGCAACATGGTGGGGTTTCTGAAGGGAATCAGACTCCACTTTTCTCCCATCTTTAGAGGATGAGGGGAAGGTTACAGCAGGAGCCTGCAGCCAGGCCACAGAGAAACCCTGTCTCAAACAAACAAAAGAGTTTTATTCTGTGTGTGTGTCTGTGTGTGTGTGAGCCTGAGTATATGTTTGTTCACCACATGCATCCATGTGCCTGTAGAAGCCAGAAAAAAAAATGCATCAGATTGCCTGTGGCGGGAGTTACAGGTGTTGTGAGCCACCATCTGGATGCTAGAAACCAAACCTAGGTCCTCCGCAAGGGCCGCAAGTGTTCTTAACTGATGAGCTATCTCTGCAACCCCAAGAGTCTCTTTCCTGTAACCTCTCTGTTAACAGCTGCTAGGGTCAGAGCCTGAGCCCTGGCTGCCCCAACAACTATGCTCAACTAGACAATAGTGGAATGTGGTCCCTTATTTTAGTCACTCCTTCCCGTCTCAGGCCCAGTGTTTCCTACAAAGTCTTCTGAAAAGTCGTTGGAACTGGTGAGATGTTGGGGGAAGTCCTGTGCATTTGTCAATAAATCACTTTTTGGCCAATAGGGAATCTAGATAGGAGGGACTAGGAATCCAGAAGGACTCTGGGTAAGAGAAACACAAGGGGGCAAGATGTAACCGCCATGGGGGTAGGAAGCCCGGAACTATTCTCCGGTAAGAAACATACTTAGATTAACAATTATGGGGTAATTACTTAAGTCAGAGCTAGACAGTAAGAAACAAGCAAGGCCAACAGCTTCATAATTAATATAGCCTCCTGTGTGTTTATTTGGGACTGATGCGGCTCTGGAACCAGGCTGGCGGGAAGGCTTCTCTCAAGGAAAAAGCTTCTCTTTACAGAGTGAGATCCCTTTCAGGATACACACTCTTTCTCCAGCTGGCACCAGGCTTCAGGCTTTCCCTTCCTCCAGAATAGCAGCCCCTTGACAGTCATCCAGCAGCCCTGGGAAGAGCACACATGTCTTTCTTTAGACATTTTGACTGGGTACTGTGGTGTTTTGAATGAGAAATGGCCCCCCAGTCTCATTGAACATGAGGTCCCTGGTTGGTGGAGTTGTTTGGGGAGGTTTAGGAGGTGCAGTCTTACTGGAGGAAACGTGTCCCTGGGGGTGGGCTTTGAAGGTTTAAATTCTCCTACCGCTTCAGCTCACTGCTTTCAGCTTCCTGCTTGGTTCCAGATGTGAGCCCCCAAAGACCTGCTCCTGCTGTTGCGCCTGCTTCTTGTTGCCATGCCTCCTCCTGCCACCATGGACTCCAAATCCCTCTGGAACCATAAAGCACAATAAACTCTCTCTCCCTTGAGTTGCTTTGGGACTGATAGTGTTCCTTTGGGAAGGATTGGCATAAACCATTCCATTTTGACTATGACAATTCCTACCTTTATCTTGGAACCATTTTCTCAGAAGACAATCTGATAAATCATCTCCAAGTTTGGCATTGATTGTCCCTCATCACTAGGTAACTGATTTTTTTTTCGGAGAAGCCATTGTCAAAAGTTCCTTTTTGCTAGCCAAATTTAAGCAACATGAGAGGTCTAGAGAGAAAGATGATCAGGCTAAGTCTACCGCTATTCCCAGTTCTTTGTGCATCAGGCAGAGCTCTTCATTTCCAGCTCCATTTTTGCGCCTTTGCAGTCTGGAAGCCTTTCCTTATCTTTCTCTTTAAAGGTCAGCTCTAAGTTCAGCCTCCTGTGGTGTCTGTTAAATGGACTAATTTCATAATTGAAAGTGGTGAGGTTTCTGCTTCTGCTTCTTCTCTTCCTGTTCCTCTTCCCCCTTCTTCCTCCTTCCTTTTCTTCTTTGGTAGTAGAATATCAACAGATTAAGAGCTATAAAAATTTTTCAAAGAAAACACAATAAAACCAACAAGAGCAGATTGGCAACTGACAAGACAAAATGTTTTAGTTATTTCCACTGTCTACACCATGACAGTAGGACTTCCCATGTGATTCGTGTTTACTCCCTTTTATAAAGAGTGGCTCTGCTTAGAATGCCTGAGTCATGCTACTGCCCAGAAGTGAGGCTTGTACCGGGATCACACAGGTATCAAAGAGGTTAGTATTACAATTTTATGACTCCAGCCTGGTAAAGCATCTTGCATCCTCACTGCAGAACACTGTTCTCACTTCAAAGGGAGTAAGAGATAGTTTATCCTGGATCCAACAATGAGTGGCCACAGCCAGGATAGGGAAGTTCACAACTCCAGTTCCAGGTATCTGATGTCCTCTTCTGGCTCCCCAATGCTGCCACACACATGGTGCACATAAACTCATGCAGGGCACACATAATGAAGATATCATACAGGAAATCATATAAACAACATTGAAGCGATAGCTAACCTAATTACATATTAATTCCATAAGATTTGTTTCTAAAAGCCTCTTGTAACTATGTAAAACTTTCATAACTCATCTATATTTTAAGAAGTAATCCATAGATTGTTAGAAAGTGTTATGTTCAAAGTAAAAAATTGTATATATGCTGTTGGAACCCTTTAAATTATCTGGTTTTCCTTCTTAAAACTTTGGCCTAGGATAAGGGAAGATAATACAATTAGGTGTTTTGAGTTTAAGAATTCTGACATTATGCTTCAATAATGACAATCATAGGTATTTTCTAATTATTTACATAAATTTATATCTATAGTACAATTATAGATGTCATTAATAAATGTATGCATTATATAGCCATTAAAATTATCATCCTAGCTGGGCGGTGGTGGCGCACGCCTTTAATCCCAGCACTCGGGAGGCAGAGGCAGGCAGATCTCTGTGAGTTCGAGGCTGGGCTGGACCGATAGCCTCCAAAACAATACAGAGAAACCCTGTCTCGAAAAACCAAAAAAAAAAAATTATCATCCCACTAAAGTTTTAAGTTTTTTTTCTCTAAATTGCTTTTGGTTTTTGACTACTTTTGTCATATAAAGAATTACATGTGTTTGCATTAAAAAAAATATGAGAACCAGAAAAAAGTTTCCGACATTTCTCTATCATGTTGCATATAAGACTTCTTGAAAGTCATAAATAAAGGCATTTTAAAAAATACATAGGTGGGAACATGAGTTCGGCACGATACAGCAAAGCAGTGCACAGTAGCGCATTATTTGTCTGTTTAAAGACATGTGTAGTATTATATTACATATATCATAAGTACATTTTCTGCTATGAATCCATCAGGTAGGACGCCACCAGGAACTAGAACCCATGCCCTTTTCCAGTGTTCTGGAGCAATAGAAGCCTCAACCCGGAAAAACAGAAACAGAAACATGCCTGCCGACAGGGACCTATAGGAACTACATCTCCCAGAAGCCTCTTGGCAGGGACTGGATATCCCAGAAAGCTTCGCGCCCCCTTTCCCCAACCACGCCTACTTGAGGATTGCGTTTGGTGAAAAGCCGAATCCAGAGCTTTAAGTAGGGAGGCTCCTCTGGGGCCTTCGGGGTGTTGACCTCTACGGGTCGGTTGTGACTCGCAGAAAGCCAGGCTTTGTTAGGATGGCCTGACGCGGCTCTACCGGTTGGTTCCGTATTCCTGTTGGTCTCCAGGCGTCTCCAGAAGACGACCTGTGGATGCATGGTTCCTGCGCCTCCTTACCCCCAGCCAGGCTCCCTCTTAAAAGATGTGACAATCTCGAACCTCCGGGCACAATCCGTAAACTGTCACCTGTGAATTCCACAGTTCTCTGGAAGCTTCCGCTGTGGCTGCAGGCTGTAGGAACAAGTGTGAACAGTAGCGACAGGGATTGTGCGTGGCTCCTGACCACGTTTTCCTGTGGGAGATAGTTTTCCAGTGGCCCTGCCCCGACAGCAATTACGGTGAATACCTGGATTATGAAGGTCCTTGGTCTCCTTGCTAAGACCCTCCACTAGGTGTCATTTCTCAAACTCCAACCTATGTGGGCCCCCAGAATAGTTTCTTGCCCCCGCCCCCTTTTCGTTGTATGTATTCTTGTCTCACATAATACTCGGAGACCACATCCTCCCCTCCCTCCACTCTTCTCAGCCCCGCCCTCACTCCCCCATCCCCAGATCCTCTGTGCCTCCCTTTCCCTTCAGAAAGGAGTAGGCCTCCTAGTGATACCAATCTAACTGGGCAAACACGATGTGATAAGACTAGGCACAAACCCTATATCAAGGCTGGATGAGGCAGCCCCTGGGAAGGGGACATAGAGTAGATTTTGCATGTGGACCTGGGGTGGGAACAGGGGGGCTGGGGGGGGCGAGAGATGGAAGGAGAGAGTACTGGAAGAGATGACTAGAATGGGGGGAGGGGTATCTAGGGCATGGGTGATGTGGAAACAGTGCAGTGGAAACTTCCGGAATCTATGAGGGTGACTCTAATGAGGACTCCTAGTAATGGAGGACATGAAGCCTGAACCAGCCATCCTCTCTAACCAGACAAGGCTCCTAGTGGTGGGACTGGGGGATCAACCCACTACAATACCTGCCTACAGGACATGCTGGGGGCAATGAGGGCTCAGAGCTTTGTGGGAGTGGCCAGCCAATGACAGTCTAACTTAAGGTTCAAGCCGTGAGAGGGAGCCGGTGTCATAGCCCCTGTCCATGACTGTGTGGTGTTTATACAACCTGTAGTGTGTGTGTTTATTTGGGACTGATGCGGAGTAGTGATTAGGTTTTTTTTTCCTAAACTCTTTAAGTCACCTGCACCTGTCCCTAACTCCACTGGCACTAGTGTGTTCTATAAGACAGTGTGTTGTATGACGCAGTCTTGTAGTCGGTCATGAAGAACACACTGCTCAGACGTACTAACACTTTCTTTCCCAGGTTGCTCCATTCCTTGAACCTTATGGAGGTCTCTCAGACCCTTTTAGGGAATCTACATAGTCAAAGCTCATTTTCTTAACTGGATGTGATCCTAGCACAAGGGCTTTGAGGGCAGGAGGATAGAGCCTCCAAGGTCAACCCCAACTGCACATTAAGTTCAATCTCAGCCTAGGGCACATGAAACCCTGTCTCAAATCCCCATTGGCAAAAAAGAGGGGGAAAGACCCCATTTTCACAATAATAATGTTATTTGCCTTTAAAAAAAAAACAACCTAGTTTTGGGTGTGTGGCATCCTCTGAGCTAAGCTCGGTTGGGCCCCCATACAAAAGAATCATCCCAACTGGGCCTGTTGACTATTTCTATCCCTTCATGGGGTATGGGAAGGCTCTTCTGATTGTCCAGTTGTTATATGGACTCTGCCTTAGTCACATGTGGCCTCTAGAAGTGGCTAGAGCACATTGGCCTGGAAAGACTAAGGAGGAGGCTCCATCTATGCAGTTTCAGGGAAACCCTCATTGCTGATGGGTAAGATCTTCCCAGGTTTGGCCTCTAGGGGAGGAAAACCTATAACCCTATAAGTAACTCCTCACCCATGCTCTGTCAGTAAGCCTATGAACTCACGGTTCCCCCAGAGTAAACCTAGGCAAAATCCTATCTAGGTTGGGTCCTTAGGAGGAGGGGCAGACCTTGTTTACATCTTTCCGAGGGAAGGAATTTTAGTGATACATATAGTATTTAATTTAAATGGTGAATAAGCTTGATTGTTGGCATCTTGGCATGAATGGATCAAGACGGTGGAACTGAACTTTGAGTTGTACTTTTGAACTTGCAGAGATACAAAAAGCTAACTTTGCTTTAAAATGTCGTTAATGAAGCTGAGAGGTCGAATTGGACACCTTTAATCCTAGCACTGGGGAGGGAGGCTGACCTCTGTGAGTTAGAGGCCAGCCTGGTCTACAAGACCTAGTTTCAGGACAGGCTCCAAAGCTACACAGAGAAACCCTGTCTTGAAAAACTAAAAATATAAATTAAAAAATGTCCTTAATGAGTTATATTTATTTTACTCAATTTTGAACCTTAAGGGCATGTCCTTTTAATAATCTATGTATACCAAAGTGGGAAGTATTCATAAGCAAAGATTGGAAATGGTGTTTTAAAAAAAATACTGCATAACAAATTGGGCACCAATTAGAAGATCTGTACCCCAGTATCTTTTCCTGTGTAACTAATTGTCCCAAACAATGACTTAAGACAGCACATATTTGTATCTGACAGTTTCTGTGTGTCAAGGCTTTAGAAAACCTAGGAAGTTCTAATGTTTGCTTCCAAGGTGGTGAACTTGCATGGCTGTTGACACAAGGCCTTAGGTATTGACCACAGGGGCCTCCAACTCAGGTTTTGAGGGAAAGCTAGTTTTATCCAGATCATGTGATCCAAGAGAGAGGAAGTAAGATAGAACCCTTGACGTCAGAATGATCTACTTTCTCAAGTTACACTCTAATTTCTACCACATTGTCTTCATTAGAAACAAGTCCCCCCCCCCCCTCGCAGGACAGTGGTGGCGCACGCCTTTAATCCCAGCACTTGGGAGGCAGAGGCAGGATCTCTGAATTCGAGGCCAGGCTGGATCGACAGCCTCCAAAACAATACAGAGAAACCCTGTCTTGTAAAACCAAAAGAAAAAAAAGGAAAAAGGAACAAGTCCCCCTGTTCTGTACACATGACTTAGTACATCTCCCTCTTAGAGTCAAGCAAGACATCAGCATCTGTGATCTGTCCCCTCATCTGCCAGATCTTCTCATCTAAGCCCCTCATCAAAGAGTTGAGTAACCAGTTGAACAGTTCTGCCATCAGCCACACTCTGAATCTAAAGTCATTTTAGGAAATCATGCAAGAATCTGAATTCCAGAGCTGAGGACCCATTCATTGAGCTAGATCCCCAACCCCTTAAATCCCAGCTTAAACTATGAGTCATGGCCCCATCTGTCTTGTAACCAAATCATGGGTCATTTGGCAACAGCTGAAGGTTTCTGAATGCATGACAACCAAAGGTTCACGTGAAATCAAATGTGTAAGGAACCCCACGTGTTTCTGACAGGCTTGCCCATTTGGTGACCACTGTAGCCTTGGTTCTGAACACACAATATGTACACTTTGCCATAAGCATGCTTCTGCTATTTTGTATGGTACGTTTATGCAAAATGACACTCAGCATTGGCAGTGATGAAACCAGAATAAAGCCAACCAGCCCCAGAAAAAAGTATGCTCCGGCCCTGCAACATCAGATGTGCAGACAAGATTTGATGCTTTGAGTAAAAACAAATGGGCACATTTGTCTCACTAGTGTGCAGACTTGCTTTGGTCTTTAATAAACAGTAAAATTATATAAAAAGCAAATAATTGTTTTAAATAGTTTATGATGTCAGCAAGTGTTTGATCATATAACTGCTTCATAAACCTATATGCTGGGGTTGGGTAAAAATTAGTCACAGGGGAAAGTTTTAGAAGACCCATGTGATTAAAAAAGGAATAAAGGAGGTCTGGGGGCGGGGATGGCTCAGCAGTTAAGAGCTCTTGCAGAGGACCCAGGTTTGCTTCCTAGAACCCATGTGACAGCTGAAAACTGCCTGTAATTCCAGTCCCAGGGGATCCAACCTCCTCTTCTGGCTTCTGTGAGTATCAGGCATGCATGGGGCACAGAGACATACGTGCAACAAAGCACTCACATACCTCAACTAATAAAGATAATGCAAAGTGAACGTTGTTGAGAGAAGCCTTTTCCTTGCCAGCCGCTTTGGTTTTTCCCCACCAGTCGCCTGGGCTCTGCCTCGTTGTAGTCCCCAAATAACACACAAGACATTGTATTAATTATGAAGCTGTTGGCCTTGCTTGTTTCTTACTGGCTAGCTCTGACTAAGTATTTAACCCATCTAAATATTTCTCTTACTGGACGGACATCTTACTTCTCTGGCGGGCTACATGATGACTCCCTGTGTTTCTCCTACCCAGAGTCCTCCTCGATTCCTAGTCCCATCTATCTTGCTT